AAAAATGTAAAGGGCAACATGAGTGCTGTGAGTTGCGCATCAACACATTGCCTCAGATTATTGTCAGCTTTACCAACCTGTTCTGTTCTGAAGGGTCGGCCCTTCTGATAAAACTGTCCTCAGCTGAAGCCAAATGATGTGTTTTCACTCAGCATGAGGCATCCAGTGTGTGCTAAAGGCACCAAGTGCATCATTTGACACAAAGCGCTGTGGCCCCCTAAAGCGTGTTTCTCTTCATGCACTAACACACATAATAGGGAGCACTTCGTTCTTAATACACCCCTGAAGACCTGACTGCGACCATCCACATTCTTGTAGATTTCTTTCCATTGCTGCCAGCTTTTTATCCACAGTGAAGTGCTTCAACAGACCAGACCAGTTAAACGGTTAATGACTGACTTTATACTTCCTATTGGTTTGCTTCTGTTTAGCTTTTGCTGTTGAGAACACACCTACAAGTGTAACTTTAGAATGTACTGAAGCAATAATTCTCATGAAATGTGCCTCATGGGTGAATGCAGGCCAGAATGATCAATTATAAACCCATTACCAACACATATTCCTGCACACAGCTACAGCCCAGTGAAACAGCTGCCAACTACAGTCTGTACACGGCATGTTGGCCTATTATACAACAACACACAGGCAGCAATTAACTCAGGGATATTTACTGAATTGATCATTCAATAGCAACTTAAAATTAAATGTCATATAATTAAAATTCCAGACAACAGATATATGTTATCTTCTTCTCGGTAAGGGCCTGCAATCACTCATGTTTCTAGAGTTATTCTCTATAAGAAGCACCTGTTCTGTCTCTCTCCATCCCCCTCCTCCTCTGCCTTCCTTCCAGATTTCCATCTCTGCAGTGATGCTGTGCTAAAGCTTTATTAATGTTGCGCTTACCACAGGAAGACAAGCCCTGTGATAGTGAATAGCTGTGTGGGAACATGACTCTGTCAACCCCCATGACCTCGCATTCACATACTTTAATTTGCTTCGATTCACACACACACAGGCATGTGTGTACTGCTGCATGTTATTTGAAGGAACATCAGTTTCTGTGAAAGATAATAGCCCTGCAGCTGGGAACCAGCAGTCACAATGAGCCCTGCAATCATTAGGAGATGGGGTAGGATATCAGTTGGAGGAGCTGCCCTGTGTTTGGGAAGTCACTGGACTGAAATCATTTAAAGCAATTCCACATCTGAAAAAAAATGGGAGTCATTTGGTAAATTCCAGAACATTTACTGCCTCTGCATGATCATTTTAGCACAACGAAGACAATTAGAGTTGCAGCTTTAAGACATATGTTAAAGTTCTATTTATATAGCAACAAATCAAAGAAAGTTTTTCCTTGTGAAATCCGTCAAAATCAGTACGAGAAATGCCTTTTTATCTTTTATTCTTTATCATCCAAATTCAGGAGTATTTAATTGAACTTGTGTGCATAGATCAGCTTGTTTTTGTTGGATTCATCATTTCTAAAGTCTATGTGGATACATCAGAATGTGCCATAATGTTTGTGCATTTGGGAGGAGTCTTGAATCTTATTGGGAAAATGTTACCATTATTATATTATTATATGTTACTCATTGCATTGTTATCATCGCTTTACTTATCTAGTAGTTATATACTATACATTCATTTACTTATTTGGTTTGTTATGATAGGAATTATTTTGCATTTATTGATTACATTAATATGAATTAGCATTTACTTATTTGTTGCTGCTGACCTTTATTTCCAGACATAGAATGGTTTAGAACAATGGACATATAGATGGTTGAAGTGGAAGCTGACACATGAGGTATGTAAAAAGGTTAAAGTTCATGGGTTGTTTCCCATGATGAGGTGAGGAAGATAAGGATACTACATCGCCCTAACGTATCTATAAACATGTCTGAAGAAGGATAAATAGTGAGGATCTTTGTGTTAGAAGTTCGATGACTTACATACTGTACCTCATTGTCTTCCCCTTTATCAATTAAAGCCTTGAAACAAAGATTTGTGAGTATGTCTCTGATTTGATTCTGCCTTGAATGTTTCCTTAATAATACTTCCCTAAAAGATCTATTTGCTGAAAGCAAGACAATGTGGTCGTCAGGCTCCTCTGTGGCGTGTTTGAATCCACCAGATGATTCAGAGGTGATGTGAGCTTTATAACCTAGCTGCTTTTTCACTTTTTCCTGGTCTTTTTCAGTGCTATTTTCATCTCACCTGAGCCCAGTTTGAAGACCTGATGATCCACATTGGTGCCTAAATCTCCGTGCAGGACACCGTCATATTGCGGAGTCTCTGATTGGTTGACACTCTGCGTCCAGTGGCAAAAGTTCAGATTTTCCAACTCCAGTAAAACTTTGGACGTGGATTGGACGCTCGGAATGTTTGAAATGTTTGAAACACTTCAGATGCACCATGAGACTTCTCGACATGCCTTCGACGTTTTACCTTAAAAATAACTGCAAATATGCAGTACAGCTACTGCACTGCATATTTGAAATAAGATTCCCAATCAACTGCTGTAGTAAAATCATAGTGCTGCTTTCAGTATATATGAATAAGCAAGAGAAGGGAAGAAGTGAGTACAAGCACATCATTTGAAACAACTTTATTCTCCTGCAGCCAGTGAGCTTAGGTATTAGTTGAGAACATCTGGGGAAAAGAGTCACATGCCAATTGGGTGTCTCACTGCACATCTCTGGCTATTGACTGCTTTTTAATGTTTGTTAAGGAGAATCCACAATAATATTGTACCTGCATCAGTTTGTGAGCATACTGACAAAACAACAATCTCTGGGAATATTTTTTGCTACCAGATACTTTTCAGATCAGAGCTTGGATCTCACATGTGAGCTTTTCATCCACCTCATTTACATCCAAACATATTGATGCATAACTCTACTTCTGAGTGGCAGGGGGGAAAGACCCAGTCAAAACATGACCTGCTGGTAAGGTTTTGTGTGCTTTCTCTAAATCATTTATTTATCTGAAAGTTTTTACTGTTTCAGATAAATAAATCTGAAAGAGTAAAATCTTTCAGATTTTTACTCTGTTTCAAAAAATGTGACTCAAAGTCTACACAAGCTGTTCTACACTTTTTGACTCAAATTCCTCCCATTAGCCGGCCTGATTTCATTAGTTGTATGACTAATGTGTCAGGCTTTTCATTGTAATGGACATTGTTATCGCTTAGGTGGCGGTTGAGGAATAAAGCCTGATTTCTCTCACTTTGGCTACTTATTAGAAGTGAAGAGTTTTAAATATTTTAGTTCCATAGGCTTTTTATGCCAGATTTTTGCATTTCCTGAATCCATTGAACTACCCATACCAATGCATGAAATGACAATTGAGAGGCAAATCCAAAAAGTCAGATTTTATCTTTGTCATCAGGTTCTGTGTTGATCAGAACTGCTGTAACTGTAACTGGTATTACAGTGTTTCTGCATGCTGACCCATGAAATTACAATAGTGGTTCTGCTTTACTTTTTTGGACTAAGTACATTTTTTGAGATTCTGGACAAATTTCTCCCCCGATGTCAGATGTTCCCCAGGAGAGCCTGAAAATGATTATTGAGTTATTAAGCATTTGTGACTGACCTGACCTGATGACCCCGCCAGCAGCAGGTCTCCTTGTTGGGCTTCCTGCTCGTTGTTTTCTACTGTTCTTTAAAATCTTTTAACATTGTGCAATGTTTACTCAGATTTATTTGTTTCAAATGTTACTGTTGCCTTATTTCTGCAATAAAGTTATGAAAAATAAATTGAATTGTTATTTTTATGTGAACAATGACAGGCACAGACCATACACTATGTAATGCTTTAAAACACAACAAAATGATTATAATTTACATTTAATAATTCTAATAAAAATGGCAAACAATTACTGATAAATATGAGTAATGGGTGAGTCAATTACTCATAAACACTAGTTTTAAAATCTCAAGTTCTTTAGAAATGGATTATCTTGGACACAAGACTTTATGCAAACAGATTAATTGGGTTTTGATTTTGTAAAAACTAGCCACTTCAGTTGTATCACTTCATTTGCACAGCTTTAGTAATAATTACTAATTTGGATTTACACTATACCCACATCTGGAGTTTTGTGAAGAATTATTTAGCATACAGTAAGCAAATTCAGCATCTTTTATTGAGCAAACATGAGGAACATGAAAAAACTGAAAGCTTTGGCTTTTGAATACCAATTCTACAGTGTGAAGAATGTTAATAATTACAAATATTTATTTTAAACTGTAGAAAACAAGATGCTCAGTGGTCATAAAGCTGAAACTGATTGGGACTCTAGACAAACTGGAGTCTCACCTGGAGCCTGGAATATCACATTTACATTGAACAAACAAGAAGATTCTCCTGACAAATACACAAATCTTTGCCTTGCTACACAAGAAAGAACCAAAAATAAGTACATTTTGACAATTCTGGCTAGTGAGTGTAAAATTATTTGAGCACCTCATTGAACAAGTAATTAAATCAAGAGTCACATTTAAAAACTGCATCATGCCAACTGTGCTTACTATATTTCATGCCTCATTATTTGACAAAGTTGATTGTGTCATGCTTGTTTGTCAGCTGCTGTGATCAGAATAGCAATGATAATTCTGCTTCATTAGAAAATACAAAAAGAAAGAGAGAGCAGCATGAAATGGTGAACACCTCTGCCAAGCAGCACTGTGATGGGGCTGGGAAGAAGCTCAGACACCTGGATGCTGACAACGGTCTGAAGAGGAATGTGTTACTACATTTAAATACATTTTTCACAGAGCAAAGCTTGAAAGCATGTTATGATTAAAGATCTCACAACTTTGACATGATCATATGGTTCCCTCAGGTCCAATTTTCAACATGTTCTTTATTTTTGCTCACTGTTCTCTGTAGACTCTCCTACACCAGAAAGCAGAGTATTTCTGCACATGGAAGGACCCCAATATTGAAAGTTTTAGATGTAAAGAGTAACAAGAAATGGTGATCATCCTTACTGTCTCACAAATCATCTGTTTGCCAAGCAGTCATTGACCCAGGTCATCACCTGAACTCTGCCTGTATTTTTAGGAGTTTCTGAGGTAATAAATTCAGTGCACTTTAGAGATCAAATCATGATCCACACAGTGATGCTAGGTTTGTTCAGATTACGGGCTCAGAAGAAAGAGCTTATTCACTGAGGAGAGACAAAAGAAAACAGCAAACTATGTTACTTTGCCAAGGGGATGTCTTGCAAATGTATACACCCCCGTTAGAATCCATGATTCTTTCTGTCAGTCTGACTCAGGGCAGCTGTGGCTACAATGTAGCTTACCAACATCACCATGTAAATGTGTGTGAAAGGGTGAATGATTGACCATACTGTAAGGTGCTTTGTAGTCCTTGGACTTGATGAAGCCTGTTTCAAATGCACTACATTATGATGGATTAAATACACACTGACTGATGTTTTGTAATTTCTGTGAAGATTCCCTGCATAAGGTTAATATAAACATGTCAGAAAAAAACTAAAACATATTAATGAAAGGTATGTTTAATATCTGCTTAAAGTATGTTCTAGTAAAACATTTTTCCTCTAAGGAATGAGATAGTCGGTTAAATACAAATTTTAACACATTTCAAACAAGCGAGGCGTTTCTAGAACATGACAGAAACCATCGTCAAAATGACTCCCGGTAGTTTTTAAGCAGCGAATGGAGGCTGTCCATAAAAAGTTACAAGTAAAACAAATACCAACTATTGTAAACCAAACAGGTGCAAGAAATAAGAAGCATAAGAGAGAGAGGCATTAAAACAACAATAGATGAAGGAGTAAGTCCAGCACTAATGTCCTCGAGCAGCAAGCAGTGCCCATGTAAATATAAACAACGGTTTACAAAATATATGACTTTAACAAAAATAAATCAAACTTCCAGTTAAAATACTTTCATTAATAAACTCACAAAGGTAGCAATACTCAATTAAACTATTAAGTAAAAATATGAAAGATTAATAAGAACTAATAAACTACCTAAAAGTTTATTAGTCCTACCTCTAAAGTTTACAGATAGGAATAAAATCATGCAATGATGTCATTTTATAGAGAGTGAGGTATGTTAATTTATAATAAATAAATAACTTATTACATTTTCGTTTGTTTTGGTTGAGGTGTTAATATGTCCTATGGCTCCCTTTGTTCTGTTGTGATTAAATATGTGCCATTTAGATATTCTATTTTGTAGAATTAACTTTGTTCATAGTGTTAACTTATTTCACCTTCAATGTAAAAAAAACTTTGATTTTTATTTTACACAATTTTTATCTCACTTTGAGGATGTTTTCAAATAAATAACTAAATAAAATTAAACTCTGGATGAAACCAAACCACCCATCTCCTCTGGCCCACTATTGTGTTTTTTCTTTTTCCAAAGAGAAACATTGTCAAGTATAAAACATGTCCAAAAAAAGATTTCTAACAAAATATTTGATATTGAGGAAATATTTTATATTTAGGGACGTGGAGTTTAAATATCTGCCGTATCATTATACATCGGAAAACAAATTAACAAAGTAACGTTTCTTTAATATTTGCTTGAACATTCTGTAATACAGATATAATACCATCTCAAAAATGTTTCTCAGAGGTGAGAGAGGAAATCAGTCAGGTTAAACTTGAAGGATATGTTAAAAAGTCTCTGACAGGCGGTGTTAGCAGGACTCTTCTCCTGGTTTTCTGCTGCAAA